AACCGTTTGACCCACATGTTTCAAATTGCATATAGTTGTTACTCCTATGGGAGAGGTTTGAACGTCCTATTTTGGAGCACGCCAGTTGACCTACATTCGAGCCATGTCCACTTTTTGGCAAAAATGGAAATGGCCACAAGTCAGTTTAGGTTCAATGGGTTTTGCTCATTTCTGCATGGTATGTGAATGAATGATGACTGCCCCCAAAACATATCACACGGGTTTTGATATTTTTTTTAAATTATGCAAATTAGGTAGATTTTGGCAATTTCACTATGCATTTCAATGTCTGCCTACGGTCAAAGATAACTCAAGAACCGTTTGACCCACATGTTTCAAATTGCATACAGTTGTTACTCCTATGGAAGAGATTTGAACTTCCTATTTTGGAGCACGCCAGTCGACCTACTTTCGAGCCACGCCCACTTTTTGGCAAAAATGGAAATGGTCATCTATATTCATTCGATTTTGTTAAATCTTGGTATGTGAATGTGTAAGGCTAGCCCCAAAACAGTTGTTACTCTTATGGGAGAGATGACAACGTCCTATTATGTTTATTTCGTCTAACTGGTCAACAACGCTACAATCATACCTACATACGTGTAATATTGTGTTTTAAATTCTTCGTTACAGTAATTTGACTGGAATTTTGTTATTTTTTTATTTGCGCGATATTCGAAAACCAAAATGGCGATAATTTAGGCGAAGCGACATCTCTCGTCAAGATTTCAGACTTACAGATCTGAAACATTTATTTTCGCATCAAAACTTATGCATATATCATTATCAAGAGTATATAATGGGAGATATGCTATATAATGGGGGTTCTCCCATATATACTCTTGCTTTATATATCCCCCCTCCCTCTTCTATCACACCCAAGGTGAGCTACAGTGTCATTGACACTTTCATTTTATATATATTTTTTATATGTTGACTACCAAATCCAACAATAAACCCCATTTTATTGTAAACAGGTAGTTTACATGAGTTTAAAAAATTCCTAAATAATTAGAGGAGTTTTTTTCCTATTCAAAACTCCTATTTAAAATTACATTGCCAGCAGATTATTCTTGTAATAACTAGCTGGGGCAACAAAAACAGGTTTAATGGAGCTGTGTGAAACACGAGTTTTCCACGACCGAGGTCGTTGTGCATGAAACACAACAGCTAATGTTAAATGTACTCGCGTACTCGCTCGCCGCTAACTCTTCTTGCTCGCACTTGACTCCTTCCACACGAATCCTGGTCGAAACGACACCAGATGTACAGGTGTTCTGGGTGTACCAATGTTATAGACGGTTCGTGAGACACATCGGGAGATGCCCGACTGTGTGTAGGCACGTGATCGTATAGTGGTTAGTACCTTGCGTTGTGGCCGCAATAACCCAGGTTCGAATCCTGGTCACGGCACCAAAATGTAAGCGTGTAATACGTCTTACATTAAAGTGCGTAAGAAATGTTAACACTTTAATAAACACAGGAACACGAAAGAAGACAGTGCCACGAAAGAGATTTATTACAAGAAAATCCTGTAACAATATGTTAGCACAATAGTACAGAAAGTACCAAGACAAGATAGTGTAAGCGATTATTCTTACAACAGATACATGGGAAGAAATATAAGAATTAATCTTCGAGAAGAGATAGTTACAAGATTAGAAAGTAGCAAAGTAAATCAAGGCAAAGTAAGCAAAGCCCTAGAAGACAAACGCTAAAGAAGAACTTACGTACAGGAGACTTCAACGAGACGATGCACGGACACACAGGCGCAGACTAAACTCTACACGTTTCGCATTTCTTTATATAAGCGTTTAATTTAGCTATCCGAATCCACCTATACACGGAGATCACTGTTTGTTAGCTGAATCCGCTGCCGGCCGCACGGTGTTTCACACATCTCGATCGGCGTGTCCAATTTTAGCCAGGTAATGGTAACACCGGAACTCATCTCTAAGGAAGACAGAGCGACCTTGAGGCTCCGCTCAGCGGCACGAATCGTGTGAAGAAGTCGTGTACACTCTATTTTTGCTAGCACATGCATAAACAATAACAACATTAGCTGTTGTGTTTCATGCACAAAGACTCCGGTCGTGGAAGACTCGTGTTTCACACAGCTCCATTAAACCTGTTTTTGTTGCCCAAGCTAGTTATTACAAGAATAATCTGCCAGAAAGGTAATTTTAAATAGGAGTTTGAATTATTAAAACTTATGTAAACTACCTGTTTACACTATAGTCTTACATCAGCTAAAGTGCATAAAACAGGCATATTTTTGGCTCACCTTGACATCGTCAAGCTGAGCTGTTGCCATGGGTCGTCGTCCGTCGTACGTCCGTCTGTCAACATTTGGGTACGGTCAACGATAACTCAGGAATCGCTTGACCCACATGTTTGAAATTGGGTATAGTTGTTACTGCTATGCTCCCATATTAAACGTCTTATTTTGATGCATGAATGTTAATAAATGTTGTGTATTGGACTATTGGTTACTGTTTGCTTATGTATTATTCGGGTGCTGGCTGCAGGTTAAATAGTATTCCAGATGCCAGCCCAAAATTATGGAGTATTCCAGATGCCACTGAAAATTTGAGAGTATTCCGGATGCCAAAGGGGGGGGGGCATGGACCCCCTCAAGTGGTTTTGCGCAACTTCTCAGATCGTGCGCTTTGAGTGGCGCCACCGTCGTTGTAATCAAACTGTAGTCGTTAGTTTTAAAACATTAAAAAAAAATATTTCTCATGGTGATTGAACCATGAAACTTTTTATGTAGCGCAATTATAACCTAAATTAGCTGAAAATAACCCTAGAACCTAGAGGCTACTATTCCTTTAATTGACAATTATCTTGTTTTTTTTTTACAGGTTATTTACTTTTGATTTTTACATTGTGCCTTGCTAGTAGTGCATGACTAATGGGAAAAATTGAACCATTGGTGTCTAACTAACTGTATGCTTATATGTGTTTATTTGCATAGCAGGTCTGTTTATTTAATATTCACCTGTGAGTAGATTCATCAACGCGCGTACGCAAAATATTTTTCGTAAATCTTGTGTACGCAATCGACGTTGCTTAAGCCCGGCGCACCCGTGAGTTATTTTACTCAAGTAAAATGACGCATGAGTCATTTTACTCACGTGTGCGGCGGATTTTCGTTGAGTAATTTGACGCATGCGTCATTTTACTCACGTGTGCGGCGGTTTTTCGTTGAGTAATTGGACTCATGCGTCATTTTACTTGAGTAAAATAACTCACGTGTGCGCCGGGCTTAAGTTGCGATTCATCAACACAGCTATTTAGTAAATTTGCGTACGTTTTCGCGTATGCAACTTTTCAAGCGAGGCCGTTTTAGGCACAGGCACTTGGAGCGTTTCAATAAAATATAATGCTAAATAAATACAAAATATATTTACTACCAAAGTCTTAATGTTTCTCTACTCTCTTTCACCTATTATTGCCGACAATTTTCTGTAAATGTTGTCCAAATGCTCATCTGCAACACACGCTTGCTGCCGCACGCTAGCTGCTGCAGACTGACACATAAATATATATAGCAGGTAGGAAAGCGTGCTGCCAAAATTTGCTCAACGCTCGCTTGATTTCACACGAATACACCACAAATATTCAACCATTCTACTCCATCTTTGTTTCTATTTGAAGGACAATGTTCACTTGTTATAAAAATATAATGTCTGTGTTCGTAACCGATCCGTGTCACGCGAAATCACACAAAGCCTGACGAAATTCTTGCGTTCGCTCCCGTTGCGCAGTTTATGTAAATGGCTGCAAGTACAGGGCTATCGGCGGCGCACTGCATTTTGGGAAACTACCACGCTGCTTTCCAACTCCTGTACGAGCCTCGTCAAAGCCGCCAGTGGAGCGTTGCAATAATGCGGCGCAAAAATGAGGTCACGAAGAGCGCCGGAGGGTGTTTCCTGATTCACATAAACTGCGCAACGGGAGCGAACGTGAGAATTTCGTCAGGCTTTGTGTGATTTCGCGTGACACAGCTTGGTTACGAACACAGACAGTATGTTTTTATAACAAGTGAACATTGTTTTTTGTATTGAGACGTTTCAAGTGCCTGTGAGCTATATAGAGTGCCCTTGCCAATCACACGTATTGCAAACGATATTGTAGTAGAGTATTTTAATCAGAAACATTTAAAGGGATAGTAGACTCTAGGATTTTACTGCATACAACTGTACTTACTGTATAACAAATCGTCTATACCCACACGTATTTGTTACTAGATACCTAATTTAATTGTTATAATTAATTACACATCAACGCTACGAAATTTGAACGACGCCATGACACCCGCGACCGTGCTGCCACCCCGAAAAAGTTGCGTATTTGACAATTTATTTTGCACGTTACAGACCGAGGGCTAATCACAAAAGTGCAATTATATTTATACCTAAATGTTATTTAACCGAACGATATACATTTTAGGGCAAATTTATCCATATTATAACTGAAACTATATGTCGTTTATAAGATATTACAATCCTTTTGCTTTTAAATTAATAAATAAGAAACACCCTCGATTATTTATTATTTTCACATAAAAAATTTCACATATAATTATCAAGAGTATATAATGGGAGTTCTCCCATATATACTCTTTGTTTCTATAATGTACGTCGATGGTTGCTCAATTAAAACTGACTTCTTCTCACTCACTCATTTGTGGTGAGCTACAGTGTCATTGACACTTTCATGTTCATATAAATTCGTAATTCCTTTCTTAGGATATTGTTGTCATAGAGCAACAGTAGCAATGTTATATAGTGCCGACGTCCTAGATTGTCATCACCCAAGCTAAATATTGCAGAATAGAAATGGATTTAAAATCTGCCAGTTTTCTCTATATAGGGCAACATCAAAACCACACTCCAAACACGTGTCTTATCCACGTGGTTAGTGTGATACATTGGGATATATTCCGTTACGTGGGGGTGGCATCCAGTTATTTATTGAATATTTCTGTTCTATAGAATTCTCGCCGAAAAGCGACAAAATCAATTCTCTACGTGAGCGGAGATGGGCTGAGAGTTGTAGATGAAGAAAATAAGGTAAGTGTTAAATTACGAGGATGCGTAATGCCAGCTAGCTTAAGATACAAATGATTTATACAAAGAAGCAGTTGACGATAATGATATCTTGTTCAAGAATAGTGTTGGTGATTTTTAGCTCACCTTGACATCGTCATGCTCTCGGTTCCAGATTTGTACAGGTCTCCTGCTATGATCCAAGAAAGTCTTAGAAATTCAACATTTTTATTGTATCTTTATTTTACTTCTCTGGTAGTTTAAAAAAATAATAATTCTGGAGTACCTAGTAGGTGGAGCAAGTCACTTTTTATACTTATCTTTGCGTCCTCAGCCTAGTTATAGCCATTTTGCCTGTTGGGAGGCAATCAAACCTTCTGATAAACCCCATGAAACATTATAACATTTTATGAGTGTCTATAATTACATGAAAGTACTGATATTTAATTACTATATTTGATTACATTATATATTTGTGTGCGCGTGCTTGCATGCATACATATGTGCATGCGTTTCACAGATTATAACTGTGCTCATTTGTATTTGCAGGGGTTAATAGTGGATCAAACGATAGAGAAGGTGTCTTTCTGTGCTCCTGATAGGAATTTTGAAAAGGGGTTTAGCTATATCTGTCGTGATGGGACCACACGACGATGGATGTGCCATGGGTTCTTGGCCGTCAAAGAGTCGGTAAGTAGCTGCCAAGATATATATCTAAGTCATGAGTCATGACCACCATACCTGTTATTTACAGCAGGAGTGTATAAAACAAAAGTTTTATTTGTTTTTGATTAACTTCTGTTTACATAGTGTAAAATAGTATGTGTTTTGTATCATGTATTAAAAATCAAGTGGTGATAAAGACACAGTATGAAACATTTATGCCACACCTATGTTTCAATGTTCCAGCAAAACAACAGTTTTTTTCAAAACTCATATATTTTAAAGTTATTTTATGTAGAGTTATTAAGTGCTAGTATTTATTATCCATATTTTGTGGCTCATGAGACGTTGCAATGCGTAATCGTGGCGCCTTCTAAATTTAGTAGGTACGAATCTAAAAAAATGTATGACTGCATGTTAGCCCTCCCCCTAACAGGTATTATGCTTGCTATGCCATCAATAAGGCTGCATCCTTGTTTTTCTCCCAGCAATTTCCTTGCATTTTGTATTCCGTCCTCACTGTCAGCATTGGTTATAGTAGTATATTATTATTATTATTATTATTATAGGTATTAGTATATACTGTACTGTAGTGTAGGCTGTTCTACTGAGGTGTATAATATTATACTGTATCATAGGTGAAAAAAAAATTAAAAATAATATCCGCTACACTGATCTTCAGCTTTTATGTCCTAATAGTAATGTAATGTTGTAATAATGTGTTATTTCCCTCTAAGTGGGTTTAGAGACATTTGCACAAAATGCAGTTTGTTAAAAATATAGATTATAGCGTGTGTGTGTGTATGTGTATGTTTCCAACTGCTATTCTTGAGTCTATCTCCTGCCTCAGTAGATGTTGCACAACAATTAATTGGCTAGATGCCAGGGGAAATATACGGTGGGGCTTTAAAACTGTTTACACAATTGCCTAATCTAGTTATTTTTTATTCAAACAGGTGAGCTGTTTGGTCTATTTTTGACGATCGTAAATCACTCATCACAATTATCACATAGCCCTTCTGCTCATATCCCCACAGGTTTTCCTTTGTACATCTGATCAAGGTCTGGCTATGGTGATAGGCGATAAGGTTAGCCACGTTTGTTATGCTGTCCGCAGGGTGAGCGACTAAGCCATGCAGTGGGATGCGCGTTTGCTGTCTGCCTAGAACGTAAGCAGAAGCGAGACAAGGAGTCGGTGCAGGTACAATTCAACAAGGACCAGACAAGCTTCACTCGCTTCGGTTCATTTAGGCAGGTGACACTTACAGAGCGCATGGCAGATCCGCAGGAGGCTAAGCCAGCTGGTAAGACCTTGTCTGGCTCTAATACCATTGCTGATCATTCCATCATGGAATAGTGATAAAGGATTTTAAATTGACTGTCAGGCAATTTGGCATGTCTTTCGTTGAGCCTGTGGATTTTTGGTAGCTAGCCTAGTACTAACATAAAGACACTAAGAATTCGAAAACTTTTAACCAGGAGTCAACAGTGCTGGGGGCTCTGAGTTGAAGGCAAGCTAAACACTTAAATTGTCCAACGTTTTTGAAGTATTGAAGAACAAATTATACATTCCCTCGTCTCTAAAAACCATGAACCTAGTAGTCATAGCTGTGAACATCTACATCTGCATGCATGTGTGGTTTGTGTCTAGAGCCGCCACCAATCAGGGAAGTGGAGAATCCATTTGCCATCCAGCGTCCACACGCACCACTTGCACTCCTACAGAGACAGGGCTCAACGCGCTTTGGGAACATCAATCAGAGCTCGCCATTTAAGCGGCAACTCTCCCTACGATTGGACGAACTGCCGTCTACCTTAGAGCGCAAAGAACACAGCTTTTCCACTGGTGCCTCTCACAATGGACCAGGTGCGTGAGCGAGCAGTGAAATGCTTATGTAGCAATTATTCCTTCTCTTTTGAACCCTAGTGGCTTACCAAAGGTGTATTCGATTTTGCTCGCACTTGCTCATGACAAACGCAGTATGCATTGTATTTCCTATCCATCCCTATCACAATTATTTTATTTTTCAATAGTTTAAAAATGTAAGATAGTATATATAGGTTTATTGTATTAGCTAGTAACGCTTTTTGTGTGCCTCCAGCAAGCCCAATACTGGAGGCATCGCCATCAAAGGAACATCAGCCAGATACAATCAGCTCCCTCTGCCAGCAGATATCAGAAGATATGTTTACCCTCAGCAACAGAGGATCAATGGCTGCATCATTGCAGCATAAACAACAGCAGGCAGCGGGTGCCCAGCATAGTCCTTTTTCACATGGTATGGGTTAACTAATTCTTCGTATTCTGTATTGATTATTATAAATCTTATTTAGCAATAAATGTGGAAAATGTTTAGATAATTCACAATTATAACTTTATGCGAAACTGTCTGTAGATGTTTTTAATATTGAGACACTTAGCTGTAACTAGACAATTTAGGTGCCAGCATGGCTGACAGCTACCAAATTGAATAGAATACACTTCCAGTTATCAAATGCAAAATGGTGCTTGTTATCATGTATTACCTAATTGTTTGGTACCTGCCATTATAATGATATACTTTACATGCTATTAACGTAGGTGTGCTGCCGCAACAGAGTGCATCTAATCCATGGGAAATGCCTGTACTAGCACAGGAACCAGCTAACCCGTGGGCAGCTCCCTCACAACCTCCGACAGCACTGCCTTATACGAGCGTCGTGGCACCACCGTTGGATATGTTCCCCACTGCAGCCCCCACGGAGGTCGCAACACAAGTAACATGGTCTGCTCAACGACCATCTGCTGAGAGTGCACACTTTCGTACGTTGGATTTCAGGATGTTCGTTTGTTTAATGTTGCAACTGGTGCCAGCAAATGAAAAAAATTACATCATTGGATTCATTTGACATCTGGCATATTCTACATGTGGCTTATTGCATCCAGATGGTCAGTTGCATTATTTAAAATTACAAATATATTATTAAATTTAAAATATTTAAATTAATAACAAACATATCATTCATAATATAAACAGGCAAAGTATAAAGGTCATTGAGCATTAAGAAATCAATTATTTCAGTACATCACATCCCCTAGTATGTTTTGTATTTATATCTTCATTGTTGTTCATAATTAATAGATTTTAACCGCCAGCCATTGAATGGTAGTTCACTGCAACACCCACCAACCAGGAGGGCACCACACATTCGTAGTCAAAGTCTTGACATTCCAGGAGGAGGGCCACTTTTAGGTACGTTTTCTGACTCCAAAATAATAACTCAAATAAGACATATTCTAACAAGAAGGTGGTTTAGTAGTTTTTGGGCAGAGTAATATGATTTTTAGTTTTTATTTATGAATGCAATGCTTATAATACATGCATAGTGTCGTATTAACGCTAATGGCTTTAGTGCACCTGAGGAATATTATGTGAAAAATATTCCGTATGCAATCTTGTGTAATACATATTATGCAATTACTTTCCAACTGGGAAATGTGTGAATAAGTACCTTTTGGATTCATAACACGATTCATGTAAAGAGCGTGGTAATTTTGATATGTCAGGTACGAGCAGGCCATCAGTGGTGCAGGTGCACAGGCAGCATAACCTCGGTGGTGATGGCTTGTCCAATGGCGCCGCGGACCCATTCGATGTCCAGTGGGCAGCATTCTCAACACAGACACAGAACTCAAATAATCCTTTCTTAGCGACTCAAGGCAACAATGTGAAAGCTTTCGAGGTTCAGATGTGACCAGCTTAAACACGTTTAGAAAAGTGTACAATAGTTTTTAGTCGTGTGTGAAAGAGGTATACATTGGGTTTGTGAGGCATGCTAGTACTACAAGCAAGCCACAGGACAATGATACATAATTGTTGGAGGTAGGTAATAACAAAGGTGGTATATCTCGTGCTTTGGCATAGCTGAAATTGGCAACCTACAATAAAGGTCACATTACTCTGATTATTATGTATAGCCTATCCATAAATCATTATAATTTTTATTAGGAAAAAATTCGTTTTATTTTATATGAATCTGGAAACACAAGTTTTCAGAAATTTATAAATGTTTAGGAAATTCGAAAATTATGTCTACGGGATTCCCGTGATTTTGGAATTTAGTACGGAATGCAGTGAGATGCTTAGAGTGGCTTTCAGCAACCATCGATAGAAAAGAAAAATGGACTGGGTAGTTGGCACAGTTAAAGCAAATAACCAAACTATTTTTTGTAAATATATGAAAATGGCCTAGAATATAAATATTAATTCCATCTTTGTAAAGCTAGCATGTGACTGCTTCTGACCACTGGCATGACTGGTGAGATTATCGGGATAATAATGTTGGGAAAATGTGTTTACATAATGCTTTTGCGATGTTGTCAGATAAACATGTTGTGTAGGTCATTCCAAATGCGTAATGGATAGGAGTTACAAAATGTTAGGTGGTGGTTGGTGGAGCCCCTACCACTTCATCCTCTCTCTCTCTCTCTCTCTCTCTTCCCTGCTCTCGCTCTCTCTCCTCTCTCTTCTTCTCTCTCTCTCTCTCTCCTCTCTCTCGCTTCTCTCTCTCTCTCTCTCTCTCTCTCTCTCTCTCTCGCTCTCTCTCTCTCTCTCTCTCTCTCTCTCTCTCTCTCCTCTCTCTCTCTCTCTCTCTCTCTCTCTCTCTCTCTCTCTCTCTCTCTCTCTCTCTCTTCTCTCTCTCTCTCTCCTCTCTCCTCTCTCTCTCTCTCTCTCTTCTCTCTCTCTCTCTCTCTCTCTCTCTCTCTCTTCTCTTCTCTCTCTCTCTCTCTTCCTCTCTCTCTCTCTCTCTCTCTCTCTCTCTCTCTCTCTCTCTCTTCTCTCTCTCTCTCTCTCTCTCTCTCTCTCCTTCTCTCTCTCTCTCTCTCTCTCCTCTCTCCTCTCTCTTCTCTCTCTCTCTCTCTCTCTCTCTCTCTCTCTCTCTCTCTCTCTCTCTCTCTCTCTCTCTCTCTCTCCTCGATGTATCTATCTATCCATCGTTTCATCTATCTGTCTGTCTGTCTGTCTACCTACCTATCTATCTATCTATTTATCTATATCTTCTCTCATTGCAATTAATGAATAACTGTTGTGAAATAAATGTGTTGGTACATTAGTAATGTTGCTATCCCCTCTGATATGGAACCAGTTGAGCAATGGTCATGTCGATCGATGAAGGCAGCGTCTTTGTTAAAGGCTTTAAAAGCACATTCCAAAGAGTTTTATGAGACAGATTATGTGCATAAAACACAAATTTACATGATTTATAGAAAGTGGAAGATTTTATCAGCAATTTTTGTAGTTTATACCTGTATGCAGCTTATTTTCTGTGTTTTATTTGTTATCAAGTAATCCTGATTGGGATCAGATCACTTATCTGGCTTCTGTTCCTAAAAGCTTAAATCGTGAGAGGACAGGAGCGATGAACCAATGATCATGGGAAATTATTTTTTTCACCAGAAAATTCTATATAATCAAACATCATTTGTGTTATGACCACGTGCATTATTATATACATTGTGAAATTATTTTAACATTGATCGTTAAATGTTACTATATACGTACACTAACATATACGTTACCAACACTGTCACTTTTGTCAGTGCACGAAATATCAAACCTGCTGTATGATTTTGGTATCAGCTTGAACAATGTATTTCATGTACTAAAGCGAGGTACTGAGTTTGTCAACAGCTGCTTTTCTAGAAGCAGTAATACGAGTGGTAGCCATACAAGTGTTACTATAGATCCCCATAATCACTGTTGTCTTATGAATACCCTCGACGACAATCGTTTATTTAGTCAGTGTTGCACCATCGTTCCTTTAGCGGCAGTGTAAATTGCAGGCTTATTTGATATGTTACCAAGTATTATATTTGTGATAGTTAGAAGCAATGTGGGACCAATTTTTAGCAGAGGAAGTGAAACAGGTTTTTTCGTTGTATTCTTCATGTTATTTAATGTATTTGCCAACTATGTGTCATTGTTATATGCTAACAGAGGGCAACAGTGCTCATAAAATTGTGTTTTTCTCAATTACTTGTGACGAGGTAATAGTTACAGGTCCGAGTATCAGTATAAAAATAGGTGCATACGTGGCAGTCTATTTAGATCGTTTTAATGGCATAGTTGCCTATTCGAATTCCAACACTATTTCTACTATGATTACGGAATCATGGTAGAATTATAACAAGCCCTCCACTACTAAATTGGGAACTAATTTATACGGCTGGATAGGCCTGGCCAGCAGATCGATTGGCTGCCTGAATGACATTTTATTTTATTTGGTCATGTTTTATTTCATCTGCTCTATTTATAATAAGATCGCTCATGAGCAGCTTTATCTTAACATTCTTCAAAGTGGAGCTAGCACTGGAATCTCAGAAACAAATTGTAGTGCATTGATAAATACTGCTACGTTGTACTTTACTGATTTTGCATAATTTTTAGTTGGTTAACTGCTTGCCAAATATAACAATACTTGGGTACAATACTTCAATTAAAAATACCCTGTAAAAATAGAGAATGACACATTTCTCACCCTTTACTACTTTTCTTCATATGGTGAAAGTATTTTAATTCGGGGAGTAAAAATTTTGTTACCAGTAAAAATATCAAGAGCACATAAACTATTTATGTGCTCCTGTATGCCGAGTGTTCTCTCCCTTTGTAGACTTTATTACCTTATTAGACCTTTGTATAGTTCATTTCTGTCAAAAAAAATTCTGTTACAAATGCATCAACTTATGATAACTAATCTAGCATTTACAAGTATTCTGAAATGATATATATATTTTTCGTTTTGGTTATGTTATGGTAAGTAAAATATAGACAAGTTTCAAATCTGTTGATGTAATTTGATGTATGTAATTTGGGGGCAATTCTAACATTCCATGACAAATTAGTAAGAGTGAAATGTGTAAGCTCCACTAAGATTGTTGCATGTTCTACAGGTGTCTACCTATTTATGGACACTCGTTACTTCAGGTGGTAATTAATCAGTAATGGCTATTCTGGAGAATTTCAAGTTTTATTGAAATTAAATATGATCAGATGTAATCCTGTTTAACATATTACGCCAAGAATTTTTATTTATTTGTAAAATGTAGCACTGCATATATTTCAGTGTTGCATTTCATGGCAGTACTATGCAGAGTGTAGGGCTATTATCCAAAAATTGCAAGTTCATAATTCAAACATTTTTATATGTAAAGCTGTAGCTGTAAGCACTATATAATATATAACGACAAGTAACCCCTGATATGAAAGGTAGTTATAGCTTGGAAACTTTTTATCTGTATGCATATGGTGTAGAGATAACTGGGTATAATACGAAACTAGAACGACATACTCCAACAATAATGGTATTTTACCTGAAATTATCAATTGTTGCACATGTGGGCACATTTATGCAGATAATCATTGGTGTTCTAACCTCATGGCACGTGTTGCACCTGTGTGATTATAATTTGGAATCATGAGACTTCTTATGAAATATGAACACTTCTATAATTTCTCACATTGCATAAGTACATATTATATCATATGTCAATATCCTTGCAGTTTTTAGTTGCACCTTTCTTGCACCTCGCAGTGTATGATATTGAGTATGTTGGTGTGCAGATTTTCATGATTTCAAGATTTGGGAACATTTTTCCCATTTCTGGTTCAAAGCCATCTAGCGTAGGCTCGAATATTTTACTGAGGGAAGACTTGTCTCTGTAGTGATAATATGAAATGTGAGTAAACTGTCAGACAAAATGCCATGTGACCGTGTAAAACACAAAGTTTTTGCTGTGCAAATATAATAGCCGATTTCACACATATTTAACTTGCTAGCATTTGGATGTTCATTTTTTCTTTGATGAAGTCAAATAAACTAAATATTTGTCACCATTGTACAATATAATATACTGTGCAAGCGAAAAGAGTAAATTCATCTATTATTTAAAGAGACCACTTTTAATCATTATTACTTAATAATCAGTTTACCTGAATTAATACAATCTTATATCTTGCTGAACACAACGGTGTAAAAATCTGCATAAAAACTGCATACATATCATTTCTGTATTATCTCAGTCGTTTAGAAGGTGCTTAGCATTGCCATTGATTACTGATCAGTTTAGGCAATGAGACTCATTTCTTTGTGTAGGCCTACTAATTGTGTCATACTGATAAATCTCGATTCAGTATAGACCCGTTTTCTTTATTAAATATCTATCTAACAAGAAAATTATCTTCTGCACACCCTACTGATACGATTTTTATAGCATGTAAAAGCTTCCTGTGGTACATATGCCTACACATTGGCAGCAGTGTTTGCAGCCATGACGCATGCGATATGATAATAAATTATTAGTTAAATCTTTTATGGATTTTCAGTTGATGAATGGCTACAGTTTCGAATAACCAGTCTGTCGTCTTTTTCACACTATTCAGACAGTTATTTGAGATCACCACCAAATAACCACCTTAAATGAACCTGAAGAAAATTAAATTTAACTATTTTAAGTGAAATAAACAATCTGATTCATAATTTTATTCCAACACTATGGTAATTGGATGGCTTACTGACAGTGATACCTAGATACTTGGTATGATCCACAAAGTCTATGGAAGATGGTTATTCTTCTGTTGTACATATAATTGGTGTTGTGTGTATACTGTGTATACATGTATGCACAGTGTGTACATATATATATATATATATTATATTCATGGTGTTATGCATACACTACTACAATATAAAGTGCAATGTCTTCGTGCAAAGTCTTCGTCACAGTTTACTTTAAATGGTAAAAATATAAACAGACATAATAACACACGATAATGCAACTGGAATGTGAAGTCTTGTTCCAATTACCCCTGCTTTATAAAACACGCCAAATACACCTTTCTTCTCAGACAAGAACCACTGTTTTAGTCTTGGTACTCGCTTCATATATGCACATGTGCATATGAGCAACAGGGCAAACACAAGGACTCCATCAAATGAGTACACATTTGTCATTGTCAGGTTTGACGTAGGTCGGAAGGTGACACAGTCGCTGCTGCTGACACTGTCACTGGAACAGTGGAAGAAGGCAATCCAGGAGATCGTAAAATTTCTAAGCCGTTGAAATTCTGATGATGATGTCTGTTAACTTCAGTACTCCAGCGTGGACTTTGCTATGGCTGAATCTGAAATATAAGTAAGTTAGCTAACCAGAAAGAACAACTGATAAAAATGATGGTGCAAAATAGAGTAGCAGGGGTAGAAATTAACTTTTGAACATGGGAGTCCAACAGACTCCCTGCCCTCAAAAGGAGGGCGACTGCGGCAAAATGAGGGAGTCTGCAGTCTGAAGTTCAAAACTAAAGATATTTTACAATAACGCATACATGTGCTTATTTTGAAGATTCATGCGGTTGCACGTCTGCCAAAATTTCTTTGGACATTTGCTGAAAAAATACGGTAATTTTGCGTGGAAATAATAAGGAGGCAGTGCTCTGGAACGAACTAGTTAGTATAGCAGAATTTTCAGGGAGTCACACGGAC